GAAGCAGTGGTTGTGCTGTGTTGTTTCCTGAAACCAGATTGATGTGGAGGTAAGATGTTAAATGAGTCCAGGTAATCTTTGATTTGAGAGTTTATCAGTTTTTCTAGAACCTTGGCTAAAATGCAGAGTTTAGAGATTGGTCGATAGTTGTTCAGTGAGGTGGGGTCTCCTCCCTTCAGCAAAGGAAGAACAAAGGCTGTTTTCAAGTGTCTGGGATGGAGTTTTGTCTTATGGAGAGATTGAAGATATGGGTCACAGGGACTGTGATGATATGAGCGGCCAGCCTTAAGAAATAAGGTGGAAGTTCATCTGGACCTGCAGATTTTTTAGGATCAAGATCTATTAACAGTTTATTGACCTCACTGACTGAGAATGGAGAAAAAGAGAAGCTGTGATTAACTGAGGATTGACTTGTAGGAGGGATTTGATTTGTAGAAGTTTGGTTATTAAGTGAAGTGGCTGATCTTCCATTAGTAACTGTGTCAAATAAAGAACCAGAAGCAACAAAATGTTTGTTGAGACATTTCAGGATCTCTTGCTTATTTGACACAGGAACAGAGTTAACGAGAAGTTGTGATGGGAGGTCAGATGATTGGGGGGTGCCTTAGAGAGATTTGATGGTTTTCTAGAATCTGTTCGGGTCATTTAGATTTTTGGAGGTCTGAGATAAGAAATAGTTGCGTTTTGCTGCTTTGACAGCAGTTGTGCATTTATTCCTCATCTGTCGAAAACTCAACCAATCAGTGTCTGAGTCAGATTTTCTCGCTGCGGCCCAAAGATGATCTCTCCTGTGCAGGAGGTCAGCTAGCTCTGGAGTAAACCAGGGGCTGTCTCGTCCCTTTATTCTGAACTGACGAAAAGGAGCATGTATGTTCAGGAAATAAATGAAATTATTATGGAAATAGTTCCAAGTGGAGTTCACGTCATCAGTTAACAGAATACATTGCCAGTCAAAGTGAGACAGATCCCAGAGGAATGACTGTTCACAAAAACGTTTCAAATCCCTTTTTTGAATTAATCTGGGCTTAGAAGGTGGAAGTTTAATATCTCTCAAAGCAGCTGTCACACAGTGATCACTCAAAAGATCAGCAAATACACCTGTACCAGGGAATTTGTGAGGCATATTAGTTAGAAACAGGTCTAAGATGGAGGAATTTTCAGGATGGTTTTTATTTAATCTAGTGGGGGAGTCGATCAGTTGGGTTAAATTAAAAGACAAGCAATATTCCTTGAATTTGTCACTGAGGGGGGTCGACTTACACCAATCAATGTTGAGATCTCCAGCCAAAAAGATCTCTGTGAATTTTAAATTACCAAGAAATTCCTTCATGGCAGTTAATGCCTCAGGGGATGCTGAGAGTGGGCGGTAACAACCTACTACAGTTAAAATCTGGCCTCCATTCAAGGTGATATTTACAGATAAGGCTTCAAAACGGTTTGGAATTGTTTTGGAAGACACAAGACTTGAAACCAGAGAATCTCTAATGTAAATAATGACTCCCCCCCCCCCCCCCCCCTTTTTTGACGATCACAGCGGTAGATGTTAAATCCATTGATTACCATGTCATTATTCATTACAGATTTGTTGAGCCAGGATTCAGAAATAAAGATAACATCTGCCCCAGAAGAACTGACCAGGATTTTCACAGCATCAAGTTTTTTCAGAAGGCTACAAGCGTTTACATGCAGAAAATGAAGCCCAGAGGCATTTTTAAAGTCATTTGGTGTGCTGTAATTAGTGGGGGGTCCAGGGTTGGGTTGAATCCCTGAGAGCAGTAACAACATTATTATTAGACATTTTCTTGAGTTTTTTGTGACTGATGTGTAATTACAGGAGTTAACAGTGTGACAATTAGCCCCCATAATTGAACCATGAGAAACATTAATGAAGACGTGATCATTCAGAACCCAAAAACAGTGAAAGTTGCAGTGATGGACAGATTCAGGTGTATTAACAAGATTCAGTGACTCCAGATAATCTGAGAACTGAAAATAGTGACAGTAATATGAATGATGCAGAAAAGTTTCAGACCATAAAACGTCACAGTTCAAATGGGCAATCAAACCCGACGAGTTGGCCCAACTGCAGTTTGAGTTGGGCTGAGGGGGGCTCCGGCCCCCCAGTGAAGATGGATGGATACTCCCATGGGAAACAGAAGCTGGGTCCAGAATCAACAGGCCGAAACAGAGACAGATAATTCGCAGCAAATAGCAGAGCGAGCTGCCAGAAAATCCTCCTGACGAGAAAGACATGATACAAGCTCGTTTCAGGTCAGCAGGGGCCAACAGCGTGATCCGGAATAAAATTAATTATTATCCAGGTGATTTTGGATGGAGGCCTGCAGCAGCTCCGATACAAACTCCGAACTTCACTCGAGCACCACGCAGATCTTCTCCTTCACACTGCTCCTCCACGGTGCTCCTCTGCTTCTCAGCACCCGACAGCACGGGGCACCCCCGGTGAAAAGCGAGACTGACCGGAGAGGCTGAGGCTGAAGTCGGCAACTGGTCCGGTTCTGCTCCAGTTCGGCTCCGGCGCTCCAAGCATGAGAGACGAAGAGGCTGAAGATATCCCTGGCCCGGTTCTGCTCCGGTCCGGCGGCCCAGTCTGGCAGCGTGGTTCTGCTCCGGTCCGGCGGCCCAGTCCGGTGGCGCGGTTCTGCTCCGGTCCGGCGGCGCTTCAAAGCACCGGAGCGTCTCCTCCAGGTGAACACAACGACTCCACGGAGGTGGATCGTCCTTCAGTAAAAGTAAAAGTAGTCAACAACACCTCCAATCGTTGTGGATTTATCGTTGTGGATTATATGACTTTTTCCAATGGATTACAGACTTTGTTTCCAAGGGGTTAAAGCGTTGCTGCAATGGAATTACCAAAAACATTATGGAATTACCAAAACCGTTGTGGGATTACCTTCTTTGACTTTTGTTTTCCTCTTGCTGGGTTACATCAAGATCAAGGACATTCGGAGATGTAAGTTCATGTTGGAATTCATCCCCATGGACAGTCGATGATTTCCAAAGGGGGGACTGTAGTGAACTAGGCCTCCGACATCAATCTGTCTCTGAAGACCTTCAGGGGACAGGAACTGTTATTTCATTGATTTGAATCCAGAAATACAAATTATCTCATTAAGAGACTATTTAATTGTATCCTGAATTAATCAATTGAAAGAACACTTTTCTTTTTTATATTATCATTAACTATTTTACAATATCTTGATAATCAAAAGTGTGTTTAGTTCATACCATTTCTAAATGTTGAAGTAAACCACTCGTTTAAATCAACCGTGAAACAGTATTAATGATTTTTAAACCTCATTAGACTTTGATCATACAATTGAATGTCTATTTACGAAGTAAGTGTGCATTCACTCTTCTGTCTGTGTGAGGAGTGGACCTGATGTCGGTCGAAAGTCAGAGACAAGTTATGAGAACGAAGTGCCTTGTTTTTAAAACTCTCAGACAGTAAATAAGAACTGGCTGGCACCTGCTTTCTCGCACTTCTTCAAAATATTTCTCTGTCTGTACTAACCGTTCTTAAAACATTTCTGCTCTCTGTTGACTTCTGATAACCCTCTGACATCACTAAAACTACACCCCTGCTGGTTGTTTCAACCAATCAGGAAGTACCAAGTGACAGGAAGTGGATACCCTTTAAAAGGCAACACTTCTTGGAACTATTCAGTCTTTTCCAGTCTCTCTGTCTTTCCAGTCTTCCTGGAACTTTCAGTCGAAGATGAGACTCAGTCTGATGGAGTCTTACAGCTGAAAAATAGCTGATGGATTGGACCATGTGCCAAGGGTCCCTCCATTTCAATGGAGTCCCAGCTGCCTCGCTGTGACTCACCCCGAGCAGTACATGCTCTCAACTTTGAAGGAAGCATATTCTGTTGAACGGAGCATATGGAACTACTTATAAAGATTCTTAGCCACCCTGACCGGAGACGCTGAAAAGTAGCGTGCCAATGGACCTCTGTTCCGGAGTTGATGTATCCTCGGCTCAGGTAACAAGGCGTTCACGCCCTAAGTGTACCGGAGGGCTGAGATGAGGTCGGAGGAAGGGTGCCATTTTCTGGTTCAACACATAACTTTCATCCATCTAAACCTCCTCTTTAAATCTTTAAACTTCTATTCTCCTTCTCTTTAAACTTCTATTTGCCAGTAAATCAAGCTAGATGCCTTCAGAGATGAATCAGTCTCAATCAGTAATCTTCTGTTGTCTTGTTTAGTGAATCGTGCCAAGTTTATTAATCAGAAACAGATCAGCAAATCAATGTGTACATGTTTGATGTTAAATTTTGATTCTGTTAATTAAATGACTGCATTTATTCTGATGGGTCAAAGATAAAATGGCGTCTCATGTCACTAATTATAAGCTCCACTCCACAAGTTATCTTGGTCACATGGCAGAAATTTAACTCGAAAAAGAAAGAATCCGTTGTAAATTAAACTATTCATATTCTTTGTGCTTGAACTAGCTTTAAGAATAATTAATTAGTAGTATGTTACAGCAAAAGCTGTCCCTACATCACTACACAGGGTATCTGGGCTCCCCCTTGGAGATAGGGTGAAAAGTTCAGTTATCCAGGAGAGCCTCAGAGTAGAACTGCTGCTTTTCCACATCAAGAGGAGCCAGTTGAGATGGTTTGGGCATCTGGTAAGGATGCTCCTTGGGCGCCTCACTAGGGAGGTGCTTCGGGTATGTCCGACTGGGAGGAGACCCAGGGGAAGACCCAGGACACACTGGAGAGATTACGTCTCTCGGTTGGCCTGGGAATGCCTTGGAGTCCTCCCAGAAGAGCTGGAAGAGGTGGTTGTGGAAAGAGTTGTCAAGGCCTGCATGCTCAAGCTGCTGCTCCCATGACCCGACTTCAGAAGAAGAGGAACATAATGGATGGAGGGATGGCATTTGTGGACTTAAAAAAAAAAAAGGTTCTGCCAGGGAGGTTCTGTTGTAATGAGGTTCTGGGGTCATCACAGTCTGATGTTGTGTGTTTCAGGCATTTGAGCTGGCAACAGGAGATTATCTATTCGAACCTCATTCAGGAGAAGACTACACCAGAGATGAAGGTGGTGTGACACACACAGACACACACACACACACACAGACACACACAAAGACAGAGACATCTGCAAACACACACGCGCATGCACAGACACACCAGCATGGCCACACACTGGTTTTAGTATTAACCTTTGGTTTATCTGTTTCTGAGTTAGAAATTGGGGATGCAGTTTTCTCTGACCACAAACCCATTTCTTTCAACACTTCTTTTGTCAACGAGTCCAAACTCCCTCCCCCTCCAGCAAGGCCTTGTCGAATATTTAACCCTTCCACTGCTGCGCTCTTTTCATCTGCTTTTACTAAAAACTCTCTCTCAGTCTGGGCGTTGACCTCTGCTGGCTGCATGCAGGCTTCTGGGCGGTCTGTACCGGTGGGCGCAGGTTACTGGCCTGGTGGCCTGGTTGCTTCTGGGTGGGTTTGGGGTGGGCGCGGGTTCGGGGTTCTGGGGGAGTGTCGCTTCCGGGCTGGGGTCGTCATTTTCTGCATCGTTTTTTGTCTATATTCTGATTTACCTCATTTTGTATTTTTCTTTGTGTGTTACCTGTTGTTTTGTCTGTACAGCACTTTGGTTGGCCTTGTTGCTGTTTTAAGTGCTTTATAAATAAAGTGGTATGGTATTGGGTCCCGACTTGACCCGGGGGTCTCGGGTCTTGGCGGGTATGTTGTCGGGATCTTGGACCAGTGCATGCGCCGGTGCCTGACCCTGACCTGGGGGCCCTTGGAGCGCTGGTGGGCTTTGGGGCCTCTGCCATTGGAGGGGGGGGGTGTGCATGAGAGGGGGCAGGTGAATTCAGCCTGGGTGTTTTCCTGCCTGGCTGTGGCTGCAGTCTGGTGCTTGGCTGGGGGTCTGGGCTGTGAGGGGCTGTGGGTGGGGGGGGGCTTTATCTCAGGTGGCTCTGCACTCTGTCTGGGGTGTCTGGGTGTGTTAGGCATGTGCCCTCCCTTGCGTGGGGTACTCTCATTGTGGGTGTTGCTGTGTTGGACTGGTTGGTCCTTTTGTGGGGGTGGGGGTGCGCTCTCGGTCATCGTGGTGCGCTATCTGCAGCTGTTCGGGCACTCCTGGCTGATTGTTGCTGCTAGAATTTGGTGGCCTCTTTGGTCGGGGGGCTGGGTGTTGAGCTGGGGACCGGTTAGGGGTCTGGACGATCTCTGGGGGGGTTGGGTCGCTGGCCCGGGTTCTAGTTGGTCCTTGGGGCTATGTGCTGGTCCCTGGCCTGGGTCCCTGGTGGTGCAGCTGCCTCCTGCTCCTGGATGGATGCACTGGAGCCTCCCTCCCCTGGTGGATCTCAGAGAATGGGGGTGCCTATTGGGGTCAGTGGGGGAGCTGGCCCCCTGGGAGGGCATTGCCACCTCAGTTGTTCCTCCCCATCCCGACGTCTTCCTCCGCCCACTCCATCACACCACCACTCAAGCAGGGTTCAGGTGCACAACTGAGCTGCGGGGAGGATTCTCCATCTCCATGGTTCGTGGAGACCTGGGCCCCAATTTTATTAAACAACCTTGACACTTACATATAAGATTCTCATGACACATGCATATATAGGGTCTGGAGTGGGCACACGGTGGCATATAGGGGGTGGGATGTGTAATAATTCTCACCCCCGGGACCTGTGCCCACTCTCATATGTAGCATGTAGACATTTAGGGTACTGGGCAAGGGTTGGGGAGGTGAACAGGCACTGCCTGCTCTCTGGGGAGGGGGTGGGTCTGTGCCAGTTGCCACCTCATCCCCCCCATTTTAAACGCACTTTGTAACAACATGCATCAACACCTCATTTGAGTGGGTGGAGGGAGGAGTTGGGTCTTCCTGTTTTTCTTAAACCCTCATTCTCCATTTGACATTTGGGGTTGAGGATAGGGGGGGTAGGCTGCCTGGTTGGGGTCTGGGCTGTGGGTGGGTGTTGGGCCTTGGGGGGCGATTGGGGGTGGGGTCGGTGCTCGGGTTCTCCCTGGGTTGTTTGGATCTTTTGATCAGGGTTCCTGGTTGCAGTGGCCAGCCCTTTGGCTGGGGGTGGCTGCCGGGTTCTGGCAGAGGGTCAGCTGTGGTTGTGCATGTGTGGTCGTTGGTGGTGCATGGTGGCGGTCAGGGGCATGGCTTCAATTTGACGGGGTGCTGGCTGGTTGGCCTGGTGTGACATTTGCAGTGGGGGGTGCTGTGTGTGTGGGGGGTGCATGGGTGGCATGTCGGGGCCTCTCCAAGTCTGTGGTGTGGGGCTGTAGGGAAGCATTGGTGCGCTGGGCCGGCCTTCCTTGGCTGTTGTTCCCTGCTGCTCTGGCCCCCGGCTTGGGGCCAGCTTGCGGTCGATGTCGGGCTGGTGGGGCACATGGATGGCCCCTCTGTGTGCCTGTTTATGTCTCAGGTTGGGTTTTGGACGGTCCCCTCTCTTGGATCAATTTTGCCCCCCCTCCCCCTATTTGGTGTGTTGTACTCCCCTCTGGTGGTGGGCCCTCCTGCCACCGGTGCATTGATGGCTGTCAGCAGCTGGGGCTGGGTAGTGGGGTGTGTGCGTGCACACCCCAGTGGCTGCTTGCTGGGGCCTGGGTGCCCTGGCTCTGCCGGGCCTCTGTTGGAGGGTGGTATGACCTCGGGACTCGGGGCTCGGTGTCCATGGCCGGATCTACTCTGGAGGGGCGGGTTGCCGGCGGGGCCTGTGGACTTGTTGCTGCAGCCTCCTGGGGTTTCTGCATTGTGGTAGCTGGGGATCACCCGGGGCTTCCCTTTGCTTCTCTCTCTGGGGGGTGCGGGTGTCCCTGTTGGGTGACTCCTGGAGTTCTGGGCTTGGTGGCTGCTGTGTGTCTGTGGTTCCGGTCTTCCCTGTGTTACCATCATGTCCTGTGGGGATGGGTCTGTGGGTCCCCACATCCACTATTGAACATTTTTATGGAGAAACCTTACAGTGACAAGCATGCTCACACAGGTGTTTAGATTCAGGTGTTTATCAGATACACACTCAGTTGGGTTGTGGTGGCCATCAAATATATCTTGTATTACCATGTACTGTATAAAATACTTTCTAATGATGTTACAAGTATCATTATATGTTGTTTGTTGTTGTGGTTTCTCGGTTTTGTCTTGTCTTTTTTTCCGCAGGTCTAGAGGTAGACTTCAATGATGTTGATTTGTGCTCTCTTTATACCTCTCTCTCTCTCCTCTATTCCTATCTCCTCCTTTACCTTTTAACCCTTCTCTCACTTTTCTGCTTTGTCATCTTCTTTGTTTGTCATCCCCATGTCCATTACATCTGAAACAAGCCCATAGCAAATTCTAATAAAATTAAATTTTCATATCAAGTGGAGCATTAAGGCCAGCCATAATTTTCTGCTTGTGAAAGTAAATCTGTAGGGCATCACTTTGACACTCAGACAATAGATCTAAGTGTCACAATGCAGGACAGGACAAGGGGAAAAAAAAGAAATTGTGGATGCAGTTTTCTCTGACCACAAACCCATTTCTTTCAACACTTCTTTTGTCAACAAGTCCAACCCCCCCCCCCCCCCCCCAGCAAGGCCTTGTCCAACATTTAACCCTTCCATTGCTGCGCTCTTTTCCTCTACTTTTACTAAAAACTCTCTCTCAGTTTCTGAATCCTCTTCCATGAACACCCATGAGCTAGTCACTGTACATCAAGGTTGTTTTCACACCTGATAGCCCGGTAGACTCGGTTCGGTTGGGGACCAATATTCATAACATTTTTTT